AATAGATATGTATGGATGCCGTCGGCAAATCGGGTATAGCGATTCGTTCATAATCAACTGCTGGACCGAGATCCTGTCGTGGACAATCCGATGATATGTTGATAACAGAGCGTATACCTTTATTGAGAATCGCTGCTTCGGATTCTAAGCCGGATATGTATAGATTTTCGATAACCTCCGATATACCCGACATATCTACTGATCGATGGTCGAACGATCTAGAACAAAGACAAGAGAAGAAAAAAAAACTGATTAGAGATATTTCATTTCTTTTTGAAAAAAAAAAAAAGAAGAAAAATAGGGCTTTTGTTTGTTAACATAGTTGAAATAGAAACAAAATCAACCGGAAGACACGCATCTGACATTCCGAAAACTACAAATGCGTATCATGTTGAAAGAAAAGAAAAAAAATCATATCTCATGGTATTAAAGGTTTAATAAAACTTGACCGATATGTTGTATCATAACGTGCACGTTGTTGATCATTACTTGCTGCACTTGTAATAGAATTAGTTGTTTCATTCGGTAGATGATGATGCTGATGGACATGGTGATGTTGGTGGTGCGGATGATGGGGTGTATAACGATGTTTGACATTAGCTGGTATACTGACAGGTATAGTTCGACTACTTGAATAAATTGTTGACCCGGATGAAAATGAATGTGAATTCGGAGGATTAGTTATTGTTGTCAAACGATTAACAGCTGGCCGTGTTGATGCATGAAAAGGTTGTCTGTTGGTCGTGAATAATGGTGTTTGATAGGATGGATTACTGACGTAAGTTGATGCAGCAGCTACGGATGGTCGAATTGTAGATTGAGATGCTAATGATCGGGATCGTGTAACGCTGGTTGTAGAACTGGGATGTGCATCCCGACCATTTGTTCGACTTTGACTGGATAGAATATCGCTAGAGGTCACACTACTATTTATTGGATTACTTGTAGTTGATGCAAATGCTGAAGTAGATACAGGTGGAGATCCTGTTTGTCTTTGGTGTTGAGCTTCGTACTGTTGAATTTCTTCAAATGCAACATCAGGTACGTTACCATATTGAGTAGGTACCACTGAACAAAGAGAGAGAGCGAGAACGAAGATTTCTCCAAGAGAGACTTTTAATTAAAAAAAGAAGTCGTACTTTTAACACTATTGTCTCGTTTTAATCGACTTTCATAGGCGATCAACTGGTTCCAGAAGCCTAAATTTGGAAAGCATATTGGGCGATGCTTTTTGCATTGTAAATACGCTTCTCGTAAGGTCATATTCATATAACGCATTAAATATGCGCAGACTATTGTCGTACCTTCAGACGAGAAAAAGAAACAGATTTTGACGAAATGAAACATGAAAACTATTCAGATGTGTATGTGTACATACTTCGACTAATTCCAGCCATGCAATGGACAAGCACTTTGTGTTGTTTATCAGCAGTGAGATGAGCATGGATTTTATCAGTGATGGTATTGAAATAGTTACTTATCGGTGTATTTGGAAAGTCGAGTATATCGAATTTTTCGAGTTTAACATGTTTTGGATAGACAATAGGCGAAGATTCCAATGCAACATTCTACCAATAGCATAAATACACAAGCAGAGGCGGGATAAGAAGAAAAACAAACTACAACTTACCACAATGTAGGTGATGCCCAATCGTTGTACTTGTTCGAGAGTTGCTGCTATTTGGCCTAAAAAATGTATTATTTTTAAACCAAAAAGAAAACAAACAACAAAACAATGCATACCTGATATGAAAACATGCGGTGTTATTTCTGAAATCGCCATTAGAAATGTCATTCGGTTTATACTCGCCATTGTTATTGGATTATTCGGTAGATCAGTTAATAATTAATGAGAATAGATAGAGAGAGAGATAGTCAACACTATGAGTGTTGCATAAGAAAAGAGAAACAAATGACTATTAAAGTTTCTAGAAAAAATATATAAATTTGCGCCTTGAGACGTCGATCGAAGGAGTTGACGGAAGAAAGAAGAAGAAAAAACGATTGCTCTTTACCATTACTTGTCGCCTGCCAGGCTGTTATTTAGCAACCTACGAGAGAATCACGTGTCCTAGTAACGAATATTAGAATAAAAATATGTAGATCAAGTCAAACTTTTGCATGCTATTTGTTGACACACTTCTTTTCAATTTAGAAAGTCCATTTTCTCGTATTAATTATTAAATTAATCAAGAAAATAATGACAGTACGATATGATTCGCTGAATGTCCACCAATCGAATGCTTTGCAGCAAAATGATTCATAAAAAAATTGTTTTTCGCTGATAATCAATTTATTGTCATGTCAAGTGCAAATCAAAACTTGATCCTGTTTTTCTGTTATGTTGTGGTATTTACAACGCCTACGGATGAAATAAAATGTGGTTTTTTTCATGAATATTTGCCGAAGTATTTGTATTTTATCTGCTATATGCTATGTACACAGAGATAATCGAATTAGAGAAGATGAATTTTGATTATAGAACCATTTTTCCAAGTGAATTGCTGTGTTTTATCTGTCAATTTCAAATTATTTTATTTCAGATGAACACTGATCGATTTCAGTCGTCTCTTTTATTACATGTTCATTTATATGTGTATTTACATATGAATGCCATTTGATATTCGGTCAACAGACTTCGCAATGGCTTCTTCTTCTTGTACGTCAAAGAGAATTTATACATTTCTTCTTGCTCTATTATTCTTGCTTTCTGATAGCTATGAAAAAAAAGAGAGAATTTGGTCAGCTGAATGTATACACGTCTCGCTAGAAGTTGCTCACGTCTGTGTTGGTTGACTTCTTACTCTAATCAACCGAATGATAATCGCTTTCTGTCCACTTCGCTTGTTGTAACAACAATATTGCCTTGATCAATGAGTGCTGCCATACATGCTTACGCAAGCTCATCAGAGATGTATGCCCTTTTATCTCTAGTTACCATAGTATTTTACATGTCCGAAGGATGATGGAGACAACATGAAAGTCGAGTGAAAGTTATGGCAGAAAGCTGCTATTTTTCCCTTGTCCTTACAATGATAATGAAAGTCTTCTCAGCTTTAGATTAATATATTGGTTGTTATTGTCTACCATAGCTTGACCTTGACTAATAGTAGATCGATTTCTATAAACACGTACAAATACTGTTGCGATCATATCGTATATCTTGATGTTAATCGTCCACAAGTGGATAGAAGAAAAGAAAAAAAGATCTCCGATTCATTCTGATTGACCGTAACAATGTTCAGATGAGAGATATCTTTATATGTAAACCTTGATTTAGATGAGATTCATCACTAAAGCTGTTGGTGATACAAATCTCTCGCTTTCTTTTTCTCCTCGTCTCGGTCGCTCTTTCTTTATCATTATTGATGCTTTCCGAAGGACACATCCGCTCGTTCTCAGGCGAGAAAATGTTTATATAAACAGCGAAGCATGGACATCGTGCTAACTGAGAAGCGTTCGTTTTGTTTAACTAATATCGTCATCATCATCATCATCATCATCTAGAACATCAACATCGACTAAGAACGTCTAACTGAGTTAGATTGCACCATTTTGTCCTTTTGTTGAATGAATTCATCTTGTATGCACATACATATTCACATAGAACGAGGAGGAAGAGAGAGAGAGAGAGGGAGAAAAAGAAAGTGGGTGAATCGTGTGCATATGTAACTTGGCAGTAGGCGATGCATTGTCCCATCACACATACATTTCTTTTTTGTGTTAGTTCTTTACTGTTCAAGTGAACACCGCCGTCAACGGTATGTTTGATGTAGACTTATACATATGAGAGAAAAAGAAAGAAAGAACAAAATGAAATCGATTCGTTAGCGAAAGATGAGACAACAGGTGATGATGATGATGATGATGATCACTGTATAATACGTATGTGAATACGAACTTGAATTAGTTGGTGTCTCGTGAAGAGACAAGAACGAGTGAAGATAATGTGAGAAAATGAGACAGTACGGCAGATAGACAGGCGACGCTAATTGTCTTACTTGTTTCTCTTACAGTTTTTCATCGCGATTATAAATGACATTGTGTCTATAAGACGCATTGTTTGATTGCTTTCATTTGCTATCTGCTTTTGCTCAAACAGATATACACATATTTACCGTTAAACGTTTGTCTTTTTTAAAAGAATCTTGTCCTATACAATTTTGTCATTTCGCTTTGTTGATTCTTTCTTCATGTATTTCTTTTTCTTTCTCGTCTTTTATGCCTTTCTTCCGGTTTCATTTCTCTTTTTTTTAGATGAATGAGTTTTGATGACTCTAACAGTAAACGATGGCTTAAACATCGTTTGATTGGTACGTATATACATACATACATACATGCATGCATGGTTCTAAACAGAGATAATCTTGTTAATAACAAGTTTTCTTACGTTATCCTTGGAAGAAAAAAACAGAAAATAGAGTTTCTTTAGAATTCTTCTAAAATACAACATCATGTCATGAATTGAATCGAATCGTTTTTTTCTCAATAATTGTATTAATTATATGCACATCTAAGCTATGCCTTTCATCAAAAATTTCCTAAATCGATTTATTGCATATATGTATATACATATACACAATCGATGGTAGTTTTTTTTCCTCTCTCGTTCGTCACAGTATGTATGTATGTATCAGATAAAGTAATACAGCATGATAGGAAACGAACGAACAGAGCGCAAGCCGTTGATGCCATTATGTAGGCAATAGGAGAGACGACGGGCGCTCTCGTCGCAATACTAAACTGAGGGATGAAAGAAGAGTTACGTAAAAATTGTGCACACATAAACATAGAAGAAGAAAAGAAAGAAAGAAAGAAAAAAACTGAATGGTACCGCTATTGAGAGATAGAAAAACAGATCTTCCAACTATTCCAACTGCCCTTCTTCCTTATTCAATGCAGGCGAACATCTCCTTCATTCTTTTTTCTTTCTTTCTCTGGCACCAGCACATTATTAATGTTGTTCGTTGATTTTTTTTCTTTCTCCTTTGTTCTAGGCTATGTACAAAAACGTGCAAGTCAATCATTATAACAACGCTCCTAGTACAACTACTTCTTCTTCCTCTCCGTCACATACGACAACCCAAAAGGCTACTAGCGTGCCTGTACAAATAACTAGAGCCTTTTCTCCTTCTTCGCATAGTAGCAATATTAGTGACAACGGTATATCGATACCTGTTTCTTATAAACCTTCAGAACAAATCATGTCGTCAACATCTTCATCAAAATTAAAGTCCGATGTTGACCAACTTGATGATCTTGTCAAAGATTTACTAACTGAAGTAAATCGACCAATCAGTGAATCGAATAATCATCGATACACATATCAACGTCATTCAAATAATGATCTGTCGAACTCAAGAGTATCATCATCGTCAACACTGACCAATCCGAAACGTTACGATTTTGAAAATCCGCATAGTTCCAGAACAGTGCGAGAAGAACGCATCAGAATCAAACGTGGTGGTAGTAATACTGAAATTCCGATCACAACATCATCATCATCTATGGCAACAACAACTACAACCACTACGACGACGAAACCGCAAATACCATCGTCAGCCATTGATGAACATCTTATCGATTCATTATTAGAAAGTGTTCAGAATACATTACAGAAGCGTGCTCAACGAAATCAATCAAATTGGTCAACAGATCTACCCATACATAATCGACGAACTTATAGTTCAAGTGCTTCTTACAATACCGACTCGGTTCATCGGGTAACTTTATTCTCTTTTCAATTAGCTAAAGATTCGCTTGACTAATCAGCACATTTTAATATTTAATAGAGAGAAGAGGAAAAAAACGGAGAGAATACAAAATGTCCATTCAGTTATTCAAGGAAATATGTGATGTTAAGAAGAGAAGCACACAAAAAAAAACTGTTTTTTATCATTTCGATTAAAAAGAAGATAGTACAGAGATTGCGTAAGAAAAGTTCATAAGAAAAACATTTTACCTTGAGAGAAGATTCATCAACTCCAAAAAAAAGAATACACATATATACCCACTTCATTGAATGGTACTTATTAACATTACCTTTTATGACTTTGAAATATATCATTCAAAACTTCACTGATAGCGGTCATATTGAAAAATCAATTGATTGATTGCTTACATGTCTGGACAATTTATAAATACTTAAGAAAGAAAATTCTTTTGCTTTCTATTTAGATGGATCCCAATCGAGGCCGATTTCCTATCAAACTTAATCGAAACGAGAGTCCAACGAGTACATTGTCATCGAGACGAAATTATAATCGAAATGATTCACGAGGTAAATTAAGAACAACTTCCTCTCTCTTTTCTCTTATTAATCAAGGTAAATCCTTTCCTTTCATATGAAGATGGGTATATATCAGGATCAACGAATACCATTCCGGCACATTTCCGTGCAACATCAGAACCGCCACCGGATGGTCCCATTGAATTACGTCGTATGGACTTAATTCGTTCACCTTCTCGTACATACGTGGATGCTAACCCACCATACCCACACCCTCAAGAACATTATCAGTATTCACGTTCAACATTACCATCAGGTGGTATTCGCGTTCGTGGCGGTCATGATTATTCGGGCTATGAAACTGACACAGGTATAACGACATCTCGTGGTTATGGACCACGATATTATCGTCCACCACCTCCATCACAACCCATGTATCCATACTATTATCCACAACATCCGCCTGAGTATCATCATCGTCCGCCGTTTCGTCCCGATGGTTATGACACAGACAGTGGTTTAATTAGTAGTGGCCGATTGCGCATGACACGCACACTATCACCCCGCATGGCTGTCATACCAGAGACCGTTGTTGTCAATAATCGAATGGTATCATCATCAAATCTGAATCAGATGCCAACTGATTTACGCGGTAGTGCGTTTCTCAATCAAAACAGTCGTTCGCAACATCTCGCTGGTTACGATACAGATTCAAGTATAAATACGCGACAGCACTTTAATGAATATCGCCAAGTACCTGTAGACATCCAATGTAGCGATAGCGGTTGGGTAGGAAATCAATCAATGTCACGATCAAGTTCACAACAACCACAACAACAACGATATGTCGATAATCGTCAAACACAAGAGCATATACGTGCTACATCCATACCTGTTTATACTCAACAATCTGAACAGCAAAAATATAAACGAGTAAGAATAAAGATTTTTACCTTTTCTTCCTCTTTCTTTTCTTCCAATTATCCTTGAAAGAAAAAAAAGACATAGTCAAACACAGACTTAGTTGCACATATGAATATATGCACGGAATGCGTTCCGAACAGTGGAAAACAACATTCCATTAATCTACGTCTAATCTAGACAACAAGTGTAACACCATCGCCATCATTATCGACAACTAAAACAAGTAGAAAAGACATTTCAATAATCCCGACATATTTTCCTGGTTCTGTGGGTCTGTCAAACCCATTGAGTGATCATAAATCTCAACAACAACAACAACTACTACTACCACAAGCACAGCAGCAGCAGCATCAACAAATATCTGAGTCTGAAATAACGCCTAAAGTTTCGAATGACAATATTACAAATCGATCTACTCGACCACATGGTGTTATCATTGAAAGTACTGTAATTCAATCATCTGTTGATTCTGCCGTAACAAATCCACAAGTAGTCTCGAATCCATCTGAGATTGTAAGAAATACACGTTTGACGTGATCAACCATCCCCTACACACTCGCAACCCTTTTGTTTTGATTGCCGCAAATTACTATGAACAGTTGATTGAGAAACATTCCGTTCTTCTCTTACAGGCTCCTAAATCAAATGTGGAAAATCAAGCCTCAACGGCGACGACGACGACAACAACAACAACAACAACGAAAATCACGGGAGCAACACCGACGTTTCCAGCCATCAATCAATCTTGTATGTATATATTTTAAAGTTCATATAAAATATCACTTATCTTCTTTCTTTCGTCTCATTCAGACAATGCCAATGTTCCATCACGTGTTGGCAATAGGTAAATACATGGAATTAATGCTAAGTAGGGGTGTTACTTTATCTTTATTTTTCTTTAAATAAAGAATAAAGTAAAGATAAAGTAACACCCCTAATGCTAAGTCAACTATGCTCTCTTATCAATTGCAGTTCGATGCGCAATACCGAGGAAACTGTACAACGATCAAATGTTTCTTCACCTTCAGGTACTATTATCTTAAATAACATTTCCTTTCTCTAATTCATTACAGAAAAACAAACACTGTTTTAATTATCAAATCAAAGATAACATTTTTCTCAGCACTGAGAATTCTTTTAAATGTCTTGTTTATTCTAACATATCAAATTTTTCTCCTAGAAACAGATGCAACTCGTACAGCCGCGTATCAAGCTCATAATGTTAGTCAATTTTGGTACAAAGAACGACTCTCACGTGAAGATGGTAAGATAAGTCATTTGATTGAAGTTCGATCGACTGTCTGTTCTTGATTAGCAATCAATTTACTCAAAACAAAACCACCCGGAGCATTTCTTATTCGTGATAGTCAAGGTTTTCCAGGTTCTTATGGTTTAGCTGTTAAAGTTGAAAAACTACCGCCGGGTATTCAATCGAAACCAGGTTTGTTCATTAAAAAATGATTGCAAATTCAAATAGTACAGTTTCATTGTTTTGCAGGTGCAGATCCAAATGCTGAACTCGTTCGACATTATCTGATCGAACGGACACCGTCGGGACATGTTCGACTGAAAGGTTGTCCCAATGAACCTGATTTCGGTATATTCATCTACGACAAATTCGATGTATTCTAAGATTTATTTGTTTTTAGTAAATCTTTCTGCATTGGTGTATCAACATACAATCGCTGCACTAGCATTACCAACGAAACTCGTCTTACCGACGACCGACATCGCCGAGGATTATCGTCCTGCCGCCAGTCAACACCACGAAGCAAAGAAGATGTCTGTTAAAGATTTACTTGAAAAAGGAGCCGGTAAAATCAAATCTTTTAATCAGACTTCATTCGACAGCATTCTCTTACTATCATTTAGCTTGTAATGTTATCTATTTAAATGATGTGGATGTTGAATCGTTATCCGGTCAAATGGCTGTAGCAAAAGCATTACGTAGCACATTTGATAATGCTGAACGTTTACAAGCTACTATTGTTAATTTTAAAGTTTCAAATACTGGCATTACCTTAACTGACACGAAGAAAAAGTAGGTCATTCGATTTCGGCACCTTCATTTTGTAAAATGTGATTTTTCTTAGAATCTTTTCACGACGTCATTTTCCGAAAGAATATGTTACATATTGCGGAGCTGATTATGAAACCGATCGTTTTTGGACGTATCAATTCAGTGATCTTGACATGTTACCACGAGCCAAGTCTGCTTAAGAAAATTTTCTATGCCAGAAAACGAATATCGCATGTTTTGCTTTCAGATGTTTTGGTTTCGTTTCGAAGAAAATCAATGGTGCAAAATCTTCTCAGCCGGAAAATGAATGCCATATCTTTGCTGAACTTGATCCATCTCAGCCCGCTACTGCCATTGTCAATTTTGTATCAAAAGTTATGATTGGCAGTGTACCCGTTTAAGAAAAAGGCACATATCCGACGAAAGAGAAACTCGCTAGCAAATGTTAGAATATTACTGAAGAAGAAGTATTTTTGAACAAATGAACATTATTTTCTCTTTCATTTCATTCATCAGAGTGTTTTTATTCTTAGAAATTTTCTCATCGTACAGTTTGTTTTCCTAAATTTGTAGTCGAATGTCAAATTTTTTTTCTTTTTTTTTTTGTTTTCTTCTCCCTCGCCTCTTTCTTCTCAGTTCATTTCAAGTGATAACATTCTTCTCCTCTAACTATCGTTCTCGAAGAGATCTGCAAATCTAACAAAATACAATTTTATTCAATTATATTACATATATCTTCTAGAGAAAAAACAAAACAGTGATGAATATAATGACCCTTGTTCTTTTGTCTGTTGGTGCTTGCTTTAATCTTTAAAAAAAATATATATATATATATTTGTTTTTCATTTTCTCTTCTCTTGAGTATTTCAAATGTATGATGTTCTAGAAAGATAAGAATAAAGTCTGGATATGTCAATTACTCATTTGGGTAAAACTGATCTGAAAATATCGAGAGTTGGCTTAGGTTCGATGCCATTGGCAATTAACGGGCGACCAACACGTGAAGATGCGATTAAAGTCATTCATCGAACACTTGATCTTGGAATAACATTGATCGACACAGCTGATGCGTACTGTGCAGATGAAAATGACAAAAACTACTGTGAAAAATTAATCTGTCAAGCACTACAAACGTATCAGGGTTCGGCAAATATTAATGATATTGTTGTTGCTACAAAAGGTATCTCGTATTTGTTTGATTTAGTACAGAATTCTTTGAAAATGTATTTCAGGTGGTCTTGTCCGTCCTGGTGGAGCATGGGAGACAGATTTAAGTCCATCGCGCCTTCGCCAAGCCATACGTCAAAGTTACGATAGTCTTGGAGGACAAAAACCGATTCCTCTATGGCAATTACACGATTCTCCTCAAGATGAAAAATATACTTTGAAAGAGATATTCGAACCGATCTGCGAAGCAGTTCAAGCTAACCTAATCCAATATGTTGGTGTTTCGAACTTCAATCTTGAACAGATCAAAGAAGCGCAAACTTATGTACCAATTCATGCCGTGCAGAACGTTTTCAGTTTGTTTAAACGCGGTGCTGAAACAGATGGTGTTTTGAAATATTGTGAAGATAATCAACTAACATTTCTAGCTTATTCACCCATGGGTGGACGAAGGAAACACAAGAAACTCAATAAAGATAAGTTTCTTACAAATTTAGCATCGAAATACAACTGTTCAACGTATTGTATTGTACTTGCATGGATTCTATCCAAATCGAAATGTATCGTTCCTATACCTGGTGCTAGTCAAATAACGTCAATCGAAGATTCAGTCAAGGCATTGAATATCCATCTTACTCAGGAAGATATTCAAAGCATCAATGATCACACGTTCACATAGAATCTAGTTCATTGATATAATCTATTCTCGCATTTTTCTGCTATTTTGTTTTTGTTACGTTATTTTGTTCTGAACATAATCTTGTTTTTTAGATCGATGACTAATATAATCCCAGCAACAGATCATGCCGCTAATCGACCACGTCTATGCCGTTCGGATGAGCAGCCTAATTTACTTGAATATATTGATACAACACTAAACGAATCGTTTTCCTTGAATTTGAATTTAACTCGCACAATAGCCAATGAAATTGATCAATACGGCAACACAATTCTCGATCAATACCTACTCTATTTACTTTGTCAGAAAATTCATCCCTATCGATCTGATTCAATAACATATGATCTATATCAACTATTACATCAACTATTAGTTTTAAATGGCAAAATTTCCAAAGCTTTTCTCGAATATTCTCCACCGGTACACAATCGAGCAATTTATCAAAACACTTTCAATAGTTACACAAACTTTATTTGGAACGAACTCAATGTCAATGTTCTATTAGAACTAGGCATGTAGACTTCACTCGATCACGAATCATATTTTACATCTCTCTTTGACATTCTAGGTTGTTTTCTCTTGAGATATCGTTTATCGGATATTTTTACTACCAATTCGGCTCACAATCGATCACTGAATAATTTACGTCGACAAAAAATGACCGGTTACTTTCTGGAAATGATCGTTATATATTATCTCTCATCACATTATCATGAATTTTTCATTCATTCCCGTTCGATTGACATGATATTTCCGTCTCCTGCACTTTATTCTTCTTTTCCAAATGTCTATCAATACAACAAAGAGGAAGAAAAGGAAACCTTTCGGCGGTTTCTTCGCGCGCTTCATGATAACGGTGAGATTTATTTCGATCTACGACAAGTTCGATTGATTCTGCAGAGTGATTCATATCAATTTGTAAATAAAAAATTGGAAAACAAGAAATTCGATTTCATGCATTTCTTCGAAAGGAATGTTTTTCATCAACAACAGAACTCCTGTCAATCGTTGAAATCACTTTGTCGTCTAGTTATTAAAATACATGTTAAACAATATCCAAGCGATATCAAACAATTATCATTATATCCGTCGATCAACAATCGATTACTTAACTTTTTAATCTTCGACAACAAGTTCGCGTTCTTGTCTTACATGTGATTTCTATTTATGATCGATAAAAATTTTTTCTCACGTTTCTCAAAACTAACAAATGTTGTGTAGATGTCGAAGTGAAACTTCTAATCAGGCGATCATGTTTTCTCAATAAAAAAAAATGATATTTTTGTTAAACTAAACAAATCACTTGACATGTTGAAGACACAATGGATTATGTCTGAAATCAAATAATTTTATTTGATTTTAACGAGTACGAGCGAATTCAACATTAAGATCAACTTTAACGAATTGACGTTTGTAAGCTTCCATAGGTCCTTGTTCACCAGTACCACGTGCATTAGCAACATACATGATATTATCCGTTAAATCATAGACACCCACATGTAAATCGCCAGTTTTGACAACCGAGGTGATATTTTTAATTGATAATTCGGGTGTGATTTGTCCGTATTGATCGACAATAGCTCGATATAATTTATATTGTCGTGATGGACATAACCAGTCCATACCGGAATAGATAGCATTTGGAATACGTGGATGCCAATCGGCCAAGGGTTGTAAATTTTGATCATCAAAGAAGTTTACTTTTGAATGAGAGTATTGAATCATACGAGCTGTGCCTAATTTACCGTCAGCAACACCGAGAATTAAATGGCATGTACGTCGTACATTTGCTATGAATGAAAGAGCATCATCGAGTGTTTCAGTGTATTGTAAGATGTAACGTTCAACAAAGATGAATGGCAAACCACTCATGCTTTCATCACCGAAAGTATCGTCAGGAAATGAAACACCGATTTCGGAGATGCCAAGACGATATGACGACATACCAGTTAATGTACCAATGTACCCTTGGTAGATGTACGAAAGAGATAGAGAATCAAAGTTAGTAAAAGTTAAGAAATTTACCAGCCCATGCAACATTGGCGAACGGATGGCCAAGTTTCGATGTACCAGGATGGTAAATAGTAATAACTGGATAGTCTTGTAAACCACCGTCAACATCCCAATCTAGTGCACGTAATTGCAATGTTTTTCCTCCGAGTGTTGCATTACCCCAAAGACCATAGAGTGAGCATCGACCTACATAAATCAAATGTGGCTTCTATTTTCAAATTTGTTAACACAATATTTACCGCGAGTGATTTCTCCGAGCATGTGTAATCTCACCACAGTTTTATAATCAATTTGTGCTGCATCAGCAATACCACGCATTTCGTTATAGACTTCTTCATCCATATATTTTCTGACTAAATCATTTTGGATATCTAAGGCAATAGGAAGACCTTTCTCAGCAATTAATTCTTCGAACCATTTTGGTAATTTTAAATCTTTCAAAGCATCGATAATTTCTTGTTCAAAATGCGCCCAAGCTCGCGGTAAAACTTTATGAATTTGATCACGCAATAATGTACCATAAGCATAACCAAAATCATAACCACTATTACCATAAACATGAATAAGCCATACTTGATCTTCGCCAGAACCAATTTGATAAAGTGTACCATTTTCAACCTTATTGATAAATCGTGGTTGACCTACATCAATCGGAATTAAATTTGGATCACCACGCGTTGTATCATTTGCACAAAATGCGCCAACATTTTTCAATATACCAGTCTTATGAGCTAAACTTGTTTGGACGACAAGAACAAATCCAAAGAAGATATAATAAAAATAATTACAATCAAACATGTCGCAACTGAGTCTTGTTTTTTTTTTGTTGTTACAGGAAAGGAAAATTCGCTTGATCATTGCTTTTTATTTGGCAAATCGGTCATGAGAAAATCAGGCAGATGCTTGTCCAGAATTTGCTACATCATACTCAGAGGTAGCTGATACCACATCTCGGATAAAGTGCGAATTGGTTTAAAACAGCTCAGAATTGTACACTAGCAACTTTATCGTAATAATTCATTTAGCTATGTACACAGTTTTTGCATGTATTCTTTCTATTTGTGCTCGTCACCGACATCTCACTCGTCAGACCATTCTATTGGTTAAGAAAAGAAGCTTTAGTAATCTTATTTTCGTATTTATCATTTATAATGATATAGTGACCGATGTACTTCATCTGAGATTACCTGCATTACTGGAGTAATATGGTAATTACATGCAATTGATGTGTAATGTCAAAAAACAATTGTCATTGAGTTTTAGTCTTCATTCTTGAAAGATTTGCCATGTCGAAATCCATCTAATTTCACTCGTATTCAAGCCACTGGTGCCATTCGTCAGATAGTAAAATTTTCAATCATTTTCTAACATAATAACCATGCAATTTGTTTTGAGTAGTCTGTTCGACCGACCTACACTGCTCGTCTCGATTCCAACGCACAAGGTATTCATTTTTTTCATAAGAAACCATTGACGAACGTAGTTCTAGCCTCAAACATCTCTATCGATTTGTTATGTTAAATAGAAATAATCAATGATCCAGTTTCTCTTCTTGTGCATCGTTTATCCTTGATACCGGTAGGTGAGATATCTTTCGGCGAATTGTTCCTCACAGATAATACTTTAGAAAAACGATCCGAGAAAACCAACAATAGTTGAGGATGGAAGCGAAGTACCAATAGCTCTTTTAGACCAAACAGAACTTGCTAAACAATCGGCGACGATAACGAATCATCCAAATGAAGATCTCTGCTGAAATCAATGAATGCTCATGTTTTTCCTGTCATTTCTTTATTTTTCATTATCAAAACGCAAAGAAGAAGAGCATCGATAGAAACTTATTTTTTCTGTTGGTTGATTTTGGACTTTGTATACAATAGACTCGGCACTGTGTCACGCAGATTATAACTTTGAGTAATTGGTACACGTGGATATTCTAGCATTTGATACCAATGATGACGTTGTAGTCCGTTAAAATTGACACCAATACCTATACATCCGATCAGTTCGTTCAAACCAACGCGATCATAGTCAATCACTTTAAATATCAAATCTGCATATTCCAGTTCTTCATTACGTAAATCAAATTCTAAACTTTCATTGTATATTGGGTTGAGCGTATTTGATAGAACAGATGTTTTCTTCTTGCGAACTTTTTTACCATTGATCAGGAGAATGACTTTCACATACGGATCAGATTTGCCAGTTATATCCATCGGCTTTAACGAAGTAGCCTTAACAATTGTCACTGTAACACGTTTCGCGTTGGGTAAATAACATAAGGAAACTGTTAATTCACCAAGATCAGGATCGCTCTACAATCATGAACAAGTTCTCTTTCGTGCATCTTATATGAAAATTAATATTAAATACATGATAACTAATTCCTTTTACCCTCCTGAAAACTTCTTATTTTTCTCGATTGAATAATCTGAGATACCTATTAAATGCTATGGATACTTTATGGTTCAATTCCAATTCTATTTCTTCGTCACATTTAGCTCATTTTCGGAATACTATGATGAGTACAATCAATTTACCCATAAACTATTCATTTTTATTTTTAGCTTTTTTTCTGTCAACTGATGTCCTCTAATCTAATAACATCTGCATATCGAACTCATTTGTCTGACGACTTGCTGATAACTTCATTTTTGTTTCATTATTTATACTTGATGTTCTCTGGTAAATGTCAATGTAAAAAACATAAATCCCAGTGGAATTCTCGCGTGAAACAGTGAGCAATTATGTTGATTGCTCTCTTAATATTCTAAAATGTATCATTCAAGATTAATTTCTCGTGAAAAAACTAACCTCCATGCCAAGCATGATATGTTTTGTAAATGTGACGTCATACGATGTGAGATTTGGTATAGAATAGATATCTTCGATTTTGATTGTACCAATAAGATTACGTTTCGATGAACGACGAAAGTCGTAAACGGAGAAGAGTAGTATGCGTTTTAGTAAATCATCGAAAGCAATTGGTATAGGAAATGTTTCATTGAATTGTTTGGAGCGTGTATGTTTGTAGAGTTTAGTTTGAAACTTTTTTCGACGATCAGGCAGCAATGTTAGTTTGATGAATGGATTTGGTAAAGTTTTCGAATTCAAATTTCGGTATGGCAATTTATCAATGGAAAGAATTGTGACTATTAATGATGATAGTGTTTGATTGTAGAAAAGTGTAAATGTCAGTTCACCAGTTTCGTTGGAAGAATCATTGGACGAGATTTGCTTTTTATAAAGATCAGGTTCTAATTTGCCGAGATCATCGGTTATGTAACGAATCGATTTAACTCCGTTTAAGCCAGGAATTTCAACCGATTCCATACGACGCATGGCACGGCGAATAGGATATGTACATGTGGCATCTGTTGACTGTCGAATTAAGGAACGAGATCGATCGGTGTGCGTTGTTTGTGAAGGATTGCTTTTGTTTAGTAAACAACTAACATCAATTGGTGGATTGTCATGAAAGATTGGTCGAGAGAGATTTGCTTCGTCGGATTTGTTCGATTCTGAAACATGGCGTTTCAAAGTTGCATGACGATATGTTTGCTGTTCACTAGCAAGTGTCATATTCGACATGGAGTCCGGTAAGGTTATTTGAGTCCATCGTGAATTTAACACATGATGACTACTAATTATTGATGATGTTGATGACGTCGAGAGTGATTCGGATGGATAAATGTTATGTATTGCATCGTTTGTTGGCATTTGTAACGTGTCTCGATCAGTGTTTGTTGATAAAATGAATGGAAATTTAAAATTGTCAACTGTTTGCCGAAATTTATCAACGATGACATTTGTTGGCGTAGAGAGTTTTTCTACTTGATTTCCAACAAATGAACGTAGATTAAATACATCATCCATACAGATAGTTTCTAATGATCTAAAACGATATAAAGACACTATCTTATGATGCGTGTTCCATTTGTTTCAATAATAGATATTCATTTGACTTGTTAGACAAGAAAATGTCAAACAGATGCATGACAATTAATAGTACATATACTCACTTGAATATCTAATGGAATTTCTTTGCACGATATAAACATAATAAGGTTACATGTTTCGTTTTCTATTCGCCATTGTCAGAATGTTTGTTACTTTAATTATTTATTCCTCTTCCTTTTTATTTCTGTCGTCTGACAACTTGCACATCATTTGCAGCAAGAGTTCTTGAGAAGAGAAAAAAAAGGAGATGGAGAAAAGCGACTATACGAGATGATTTGGTAAGCCGTCATTAATCATTAAAATAAAAAAACTAAAATCATGATCTCCTCTTACTTATTCTCTGGGTTAAATATCATCAGAATGTAGAGCGCTTATTCAATCGAATGATTGACAATAGAAACGCTTCTATTTTAATCAACTGAGTGTTGGAATGAATACAAGTTCACAGTTCCGCAATTGATCATCGTAATAGTGTAGGTACATTAAACTAACAGAGATCTGATTTTCTCAACAGACAGAGTGCAGATGTTTGGTCAATTTGTAAGAAGACGACTCCTTGTGTGCATGATTAACATAAGAAGTATGGAAGTATGTGCAAAGACGGAAATTAGTTTTTTTTTCTTCTTTTCTCCTTGACGATTGTTTCGATGAAAAGTAATTATCTCAAATAATGAGTGTCCGTTAATAATACTCCTAACTCGTTTTTATCAAGTAACTCATTAGCTATTTATTTATATATGTAGTGCAGTCATATCATCCGCTGTTGCCGAGAAACACATCGACATTCTGCATCTTGGAACTTTAATCAATAAAATACAGAGAGATTGAAGTTTTTTATTTGCTTGGTTAGGTTTTGTTCAACTCGCTATGATTTAATCAAATATCTCCTTTTTCTGAAGACGAAATTCCGACTGTGATGTCTAACATTTATTGATAACAATACTTTTGTCAGCTTCAAACAAAAAAATGTATCTTTATGCATAAAAATATTTAGTACGAGTCTTCTTCAATGAAGTCACATGTTCGTTAAAAGGTAAAAACGATCACATGAAAAAGTATGATTCAGTAACAACATATTCAAGTTCCGTCCACACTATTTTGCAATTAAATATTGGGCAATCTATTTATCATGTTTGCAATCAACAATTTCAATTCTTCACTAATGGGTTGTTGTTCTTTATATTAGTTTTTGTATGTTTCTATTGAGTCGCATTCTACAGTGATGTAGCAATTTTTTATTGCTTCAACTGTAGCCATTCGATGTTTATTGTCTTTTTTTTATGTAGTTCCTTATAGTTAAGTTTGGTCAGCCATATTGTATAATTCTCTGAATTTAACGTATAGTTTATGTACTAGCTGACGGTCTTGTTGAATTCTTGATTTTTTTTAGTCATCAGTGTAGTCTGCCGAAGGGAAGTTATATCGGATGAGTCTTTGGAAAGAATGGCTGTGAGAACATCAGTTAGTGTAACTTTTGCAATGAATGCTGTTGACTATGCTGGCATGTATGTTTCCTAACGGTATGAATTCGAATAGTGAACTACTTGAACTAATTGAGTGGTTCCGAAAATATTTTCTCTAAAGAGACATCAATGGTAATTACTACTTGAGTGATGCAGGTAATTGCATGGGCCTAGAACTTTACTCAGTAAGCCCCGTTCGCAATATAGTCCGAAAGAAAATATTTATCAGTTGTAGAAGAATCTTACATTATTGTTCAAGGTAGTAGTATTTTTCGTTCATTCTGATCTGATAGGTAGAATTGTATTTTAGTAATTTTCACTGCCTTCGAGCGACATCTATAAGTAAAATGCATTTATGTGTTCGAAGATTTTCTCCCGATTGACAACTTTTTTCCTTATCTTATTCAAATGGATCCATGAGTGAAAAGAGTAAATTTTCGAATATTAATATTTGGTTGATCGGCAGCCATCGGCCAATACGATACTAAAGCAGAATAACATGATTTTGCGTTTCAGATTGACTTTATCTTGTCAAGCAAAACGATTTACGATAGATAAATATGTCAACTTGGCAACAACATGCATCATCTAATACTGCAACTAGCAATACGAGTCAATCGACAACTAATCATACTACAACTGATGGATTAAAAACAAGCGAAAGATCCAATGGATTGGGTGAAATCAATCATACCTCAGTCTTATCCGGTGATTTCGGTATGTTCTAGTTGATAACTAATCAAAAAACAATGCATTTCTTTCTCTCTGTTAACCAATCAATATCGCTTTTTTCTTTAGGTAAATTATACAATCAATCGGATTACAGCGATATTGAATTAATTGTCGAAGCAGAACGTTTCTGCGCACATCGAGTTATTCTTGCAGCACGATCGGAATACTTTCGTGCGTTACTCTATGGTGGTTTACGCGAATCTCAACATGATAATCGAACAATTGAAATAAAAGAATGTAAAGCAGCAGCATTCAAACTTCTTTTACAGTATATTTATACAGGAAGAATTAGTTTGATCAAAGAAAAAGTAAAACATCCGATTTGTTTTCGATCACCTGCCAATTCAAACGAAATATTCATTTTTAGGAAGATGTTCTAATCGATTTACTCGGATTAGTTCATCAGTATGTATTTGAAGAATTAGAAAATAGTTTATCAATCTATTTGAAATCCATTCTTTCATTGAATAATGTTTGTATTATTTACGATACAGCTTGTCTGTATGAATTGCACGCTCTCCAACAACATTGTGCACAATTTATTGATAACTATGCGACAGAAATTATAAAAACCAGTGAATTTCTTGCTCTATCAGCAGTGAGTTCAACATCTGTTTGTTATTTCGTGTTATAATTTATCTTTTCTAGGATGCGTTCGCATCTATTATCTCACGTGATTCGTTTCATTGTCCGGAAATCGAGATTTTCTATGCAGTTAAAAACTGGCATGAATATCATTATCGTGATCAAAGTGAAAATTTGAAACCAGCTGACGAAATCGTATCCAAAGTTCGTTTAACACTAATGACCATGAGTGAACTATTAAAAATTGTGCGCTATTCGAATTTATTTAATCTCAATCATATTATGGATGCAATTGATGCCATCCATTTGGAATCAAATACATCGCCGGATACAAATAATGAAACTCGAATTAAGAACTATCGAGGACGATTGCGAACTAATGAAAATATTGCAACAAAAGCTTATCTTGCGCAAGTTATCACCGGTTAGAGATTTTCTTCTTACAACAAATCGGTGTAATCCTATTGACTTTTTTTTAAGGAGAAATGAAGCACACGTTACTGGATGGAGATACAATAAATTACGATCTAGTTCGTATTGTTTTAAAACTGTCTTCCATCTAAGAAAGCTTCTATAATATTTAGGATCGTGGTTACACGAGACATGTTATCGACGATACTCACAATATCTGCGTAAAATTAGATGGACCTTCGATCATAAATCACATTCGACTACTTCTTTGGGATAAAGATACTCGGTATGACGGATTCATTTGGTAAACAATGGTAAAAGTGGAATTTCTTGTAGTGCCTATTCTTATTGTGTCGAAGTATCGGTTGACAACATCAATTGGACACGTATTATTGACTATAGATTGTATTTATGTCGTTCATGGCAAAAGTTATATTTTCCGCCTATTGTTACAACGTATGACTAAATAATTGACGATTGTTTGTCTTTTATGCATTGCTTTTTCTTTATAGATATATTCGTGTTGTGGGTACTCATAATACTGTGAACAAAGTCTTTCATCTTGTTTCTATGGAAGTTTATTACATGCAAAAGTCATTTGCTTTGATTGGAGATATTCATGGTTCGTACAATGTAGAATGGATTCATTTTCTTTGAAAATTCTATTTTAGTTCCAACGGAAAATGTCGCGACAATAGAAGGCAGTGCAGTTGTGTCTGAAGGTGTAAGTCGAATAAGAAATGCCTTGATCAATGGCGATTATCAATCGTACGATTGGGATTCAGGTAAATAGAATACAAAATAAAAGTCGAAACTTAGTTCTTATTCTAGGCTATACATGTCACCAAATTGGCTCTGGTGGAATTATTATACAATTATGTCAACCGTATATCATCAGTTCGATGAGGTAAATCTGAAATTCGAATACAAGGGTAGATTTTCCTTTCGTTCGAATGCTTTATTAGGTTGTTACTATGGGATTGTGATAATCGATCATATTCATATTATATTGAAACGTCTTATGATAATGCAACATGGACTAAAATTGTTGATAAACGAACGCTCGCTTGCCGGTAAGAAAATTGCCTTCGTTTATCTAAAACTCGATTCATTGTGTTTTGATTTTCTTGTTGTCATCAAGTTCATGGCAAATACTAACATTTTCGCCTCGAATCGTTGGTTTTATTCGAATATGTGGCACACATAATACTGCGAATGAAGTTTTTCATTGCGTTCATTTTGAATGTCCATGTCAACCTGACGTACTGAAGGCACATATGAAAGAAGGGTTGTTAACTTCGACAAGTGACGAAAAGGAAGAGAATAGTGTCGACTATGAACAATTTTACGAACAATATGAGAAGTTATTGGATACATCAACCAACGATTCTTTAACTGATCGAAATACTTCTATGCAAACTTACACTATCCTACCGTTTACGACTAAATCAAATTCACCAGCCGTCTTTGCAATCGAACAATAGAATGTTGAAAAACATTGATCACAACTGTTTGTTTACGTTTTTTTTTAGTTTTGTATATTGTACAAATTCTTGAGTGAGAATATTTTAGTTGTATTGTATAAAAAAATTCTGCTGGTCAGATGTACGGCTCGCGATGTGAATATATTATTGAAGATTAATTTCAAAAAATACATTTCAGTTCAATCCGATTTCACGTGATTCATCCTATGATTATATACAGCTCAATATTTCATATTTTCCGGCTTAGAACAGATATGAGTGGAGAAAAATGATTAACCTGACTAACCTTTAGAAAAAAAAACAACGAAATTTATTCGATAGTTTGTAGGATAAGCTCGCTACGTCTAAACAAATAATTCGAAATATTTGATTGCTTTCACCTATCAATTTATCTATGCTTGCTTTGATACGGTTGATTAACGAAAAATATCTATGCTTTCTCTGATTGTACCCTACTCGTTGTATGATTATGGCGATGAAATCGAGAGAAAAAATCTGTTCTCGACTTATACAAGCATGTCTTATAATAGTATTGATCACGTAGACGTATGACGAATATTATAGAAGTATTGCCAAGATATTGAAAATATCCATTTTTTGTGTCGGTGATCTTTTGTGATAATCGTTTTTATTTCAATGTAAATAAGTAAGTGGCGCATGTTTTTGTCAAGCAATTTCTCAATGCAATGTGTACTGTTTAGCTCATTGTTTTGCAAACAATGGCAAAGGTTTTTTCAGGCAGTCGAACGAAATTTATGCCATTTAGACGTACGAAACCAGGCATCGGAGCAGAGAATCGTACAGCCACTGGGAAAAATCAACCTAGTAGCAGAAGATTAACGATAATAGGAGCGCCTGTACATTCATCGGGTACATTGGTTCATATTAGCGATCCATCGTAAATTTCATTGTTATGCACTCAATTGTATGAATGATTCTTGTATTATTTAGTTCGCCAGTACAATTAAATGTTTTTACCTACGATGGAGATACTTTCACGGAAGGAAAATATAAAAAAGTAGATGAAATTCCTGTTAGTTCAACAGCGCCTACTACACAAATGACGTGTATGTATGATAGAAAAGCTTTAATCTGATCATTCATTGCCTCTGCTTATCTTCAGGGATTGATGTCGATGGTGTACACTATCAAGATGTCATATCTCAGTTAGCTGATCGATACGATATTCATTCACTAGTGCAAACAGATATAAAGACAACAGAACAACGAACGAAACTCGATGTACTCGATGATTCGTTATTTCTTGTATGCAAATTAATCTTTCGTGATGTAGCACACACGGGACATACAATTATAGAGCAAATGAGTTTTTATTTGAAAGAGAATATTCTTATAACGTTTCAAGAAACACCCAAAGATTTATTCGATTCAATTAAAAGTAAAGACGAATCTTGTTCGAACTACATCTTTGTTCATATCTCTGTTTCTCATTACAGACCGTATTCGGCAAGGCAAAGGACGCATAAGAAAATCTAAGGTTGATTATCTGTTCTATTCTCTCGTTGACGTCATTGTCGATCATTATATGGATGTGCTGGATACGATGGGTTCAAAAGTCGAAGCGATTGATAATCAATTGATGAAAACATTAAAACGCGACACATTAGAATCGATCTATGATATGAAACGTGACATGCTCTATCTACGGTCGGTCATATCGCCATTAAAAGAAATCATTATTAAACTACAGAAAGAAGAAGAAACTTTGATTATGCAGGAGAGCACAAACATCTATTTGAAAGATTTATTTGATCATGTTGTTCAAGTTAATGATTCAATTGATACGTATAGAGAAATGTTAGCGTCATTTATTGATTTCTATATGATGTTAAATTCTAATGCGATGAATGAAGTGGTGAAAACATTAACAATCATATCAACTATTTTTATACCATTGACATTTATAAGTGGACTTTACGGCATGGTAAGCGATATCTTTTGTTGAAGTTAAGCGTCATTTCGTATTTTTTTAGAACTTTGAAAATATGCCCGAGTTAAAGTACGAATACGGTTATTACATCGTATTGAGTGTTATGGCTACTTTGGCCATTTTCATGTTAGGATGTTTTAAACATAAACATTGGTTTTAACAATAATTTTGTACTTCTTTTTAAAAATAAATATTTAAAAAGCGTGACTCATCGAATTGCTATTGTCTGATCTATTTGAAATATGACCATCTCGTATTATCAACGTTACTGTCGTCCGTTATAGGTAAATAAATGTTCGATTAGACTTTTGAAAAGAACGACTCTTTCGCAAAAAGTACACACAGAATGTTCGAAGTATATCAGCAGATCTACAAGATAATCACTGTGTTTGTATGATGCTTTTCTTTTTGTAATCGCGATGAGTACTGAAAACATTTAAATATGTATACTATCCGATACAAAAAAGTCCGATACTGTATTTCTTATTAATTGCTGATCATCTAGGTGCACTCTATAAGCTCAGGCTGGCGACATGCTATTGAAAATTCTACAGGTGACTCACATATCTGTCATGTTTGTGAAATATCATGATTCATATCGTTGTCATTACACAACCATAATTTGCTTCAGTCATAGTATAAATAGGCGGGATGTTTTTGTCTCACTTATTCTATTACTACTCTCGTCGTATAACATCAATCGTCAGTTTTTCTCTACACATAGTCATAAAGAATGGCTACTGATACGCAAACACCCATTGTACAAATTCGATGCATACCAGATAATTCATATGCTCTTGTTGGTGTTCTCAACACAAAAAAGGTACGTTTTGACATCGAAACGAAAAGTAAGGACGAATCAGATCAACGAACACCGCTCAATCTCGCACTCATTCTCGATCGAAGTGGATCGATGGAATCGGATGACAAGTTAACTTTCGCAAAGAAAGCTGTTATTTCAGTGCTGAATCTTTTACACGACGATGACATTGTTCATCTTGTTGCGTATGACAGCGATGTGTCGATCGTCTTCGAAAATGCTCGTGCATCTACTCGCGAATATCTATATGCGCTTGTCAACAATATTCAAACTGCCGGATCGACAAATATGTCAGGTGGACTCGAAGTTGGCGCTGGCCTTCTCGAAAAGTATGTGTACAATGGATTTTCGCGCCGCATGTTTCTCTTTTCTGATGGCCAAGCCAACGTTGGATTGAGAACACGAGCCGAATTGACAAGTCTTGTTGCTAAGTATAACAACAACGGTATCATCACTGATTCATTTGGCATCGGTGCTGATTTCGATGCTGAAATTATGAAAGGTATTGCTGATGCTGGTGGATCACGATTCTTTTTTCTTGAATCAGCTCAAGTTATCGAACCACTCGTGACAAAAGCTCTCGTCAGTGTATTTGGCGTTTGTGGTTCACAAACTCGTTTAATTGTCCGTGGCAAGAATGGATCAGTAGTGACAAAGATCTGGGGTCATAATGATATTGTCGCCGGTGCAAGTCTTGGTGATTTGCATTCGAACAATCTTCGATCAGTTCTTTGTGAATTCACCACTGCTGCTGCTGCTAACACCGGCAATGGGCAAGAAGTTGAATCACTTGCTTACGAACTTCGATATCTTCGACCAGATGACCTAAATGGTGAACCTATGAGTATCAAAAATACTTTATCATTGAAGTTCGTGGAAGATGAATCACTCGTTGCAAATGTTGATCCTCATGTGCAAACGATGTATGCAACCCAGCGGGCTGCTGATATGGATATTGAGATCGCTGAATTAGCGAAGAATGGTAAACGAAAGGAAGCAGCTGAAATTGTCAGTGCTCAATTGCAGATGCTTCGAGAAGCGGAGAAATACGATAACGAACGTGGAATGATCGGATTACAAATTCGTTTGGCAGAAAATATGCAAAACAAACTAAACGATGAAAACGTCGCCAATGATCTTGTTTGGCAAGGATATTCTCATCAAGGCTACTTGAAACGACAATGTTCAGAAGAATGTATGGCCATGTATGATTAACTATATGTACTATTTTAAAATTATTATTTTTACATAAATAAAAACATGTAATCTTTATTACAGATGATATCGAAAGCTGATGTCTGTCTTTTCACCAACGCACATTCTCAGTAGAATAACAATGTTTATTTAAGATTTATTAACAGTCTCCGGTTTTACATGTTCACGTCGAAGCGAGAAAATTTTGTATTTCCTTTCCCGGCGATGACATCTTTTTTTTCTGTTTCGGGATACTCAGTCATTTGATTTGCTGGTGGTCCTGGTCGAGTATTATTAACCGGTTGTTGATCACCATAGCGATTCATGTGTTCGGCCGCTCTTTTCTGAGCTTTGATTTCTTCTGGTGATGGATAGTGATATTGTCCATAGGCTGATGCGAATGGATTATCTGGACTCATATTCAAAGATGTTTTATCTAACGGAGCAGATGGATTTGCTTTTTGAGGTTGGGGACGAGCCGGCGGTTGGTGTACTGGAGGGCTCGGTGGACGCATCGATGATGATTGCGGTTGATTATAATAGTTAGGTTGTTGTTGTTGTTGTTGTGGTGGTGGTGGTAACGATTGATTCTGTCCTTGACTGTAACGATTTGCAGGTTGACCCATATTATTATTTCTGTCCCAATTATCATTATTGGGCGGATACGAATTTGGTGCGGGACCTGGTGGATAGTTTCTCGGGGATGGAGGTCGATAAGGATTGAAGGGATTTTCACGAGACATGTCATTTGTTGCTGACAAAGGTCCGGCAGCTTTTGGCATTTCAGTAATTCGTTTCGCTGGATCAATTTGGGAAGGATAGTGATAACCACCATAAATTGAATGAAATGGATTTTCATCGGATAAGTTCAAGGACTTATTATCCGTCGAACGTACACCTGAATTTTGATTCGTAATTCGTTTCGTTGGGTCAATTTGTGATGGATAGTGGTAACTAGCATAAACAGCGTGAAAGGGACTTTCTTCCGAAAGATTCAACGTTTTATTCAATCCACCATCACCTTTCGGTGGTGCTGTTATCGATGTTATGGTACGTGGTGCATTATATTGCTCGTGTCGACGAGCCGGATCATGAAATGGACTTTCGTTTGACATCATGTTTGTCTTTTCTATGTTACCACCACCCTTTGGAGGCGATGTGATCGATGTAACAGTTCGCTGTGCATTGTATTGTTCGTATCCACGTGCCGGATCATGAAATGGACTTTCATTTGACATCATGTTTGTCTTTTCTATGTTACCACCACCCTTTGGAGGCGATGTGATCGATTGAACAGTTCGCTGTGCATTGTATTGTTCGTATCCACGTGCTGGATCATGAAACGGACTTTCATTTGACATAATATTTGTTTTTTCAATACCACCCCCACCGACTCCTCCAGCTGGGCCACCATAACTATTTCGATTAAAATTGTTTTGTGTTGGTGGTGGCGGCGGTCTTGGCTGTGCTGGGGGATAGTTGGTGGTGTTCGGTGAAGCATAGGATTGTGGCTGTTGCGGTCGCATCGGTTGCCCATAGTTCGGTCTGTCGTTTATATAAGTGACTGACGTTGGAGGTTGATTATTTGTATAGTATGGGTAAGGTGGAGCAGGTGGGCGCGACGCAGGATTTGATTGCGGATTATGAATATAGTGTCGAGTTGTATACATAGGCGGCTGTTGGTTAGGATGCATAACTCAAAATGTCGTTTTCTCTTCGTTTAGTTGTGTAACTGTTTTCTCTTTGTAATCAGTCCAATTCTTTAATGGAATGACGAACGAAAGAAAAATTTATCTACGTGCTCACCTATTATTCTTTTTATTTCACTGGTTGCTATGACTTTTCTCCGGTTAAAACATAACTACCGTCATTTTTTTCTTTCTTTCTCCCTTCTGTCAATCAAATCTCTTCAACAGGCTTCTGTTTTTTTTCTCTCTAACTCTCTTTGTCAAATAACATCACAACAAAATCGATTGCTGTATTGCCAAAACAATCAATATACAAATTGAAAGTTAATTATCGATATTTCCGTTGTCAGAAACAGGAGTGTTCGATTTCGGTCTATTTATTTTCGTTTCAAATTGAATAAATCGATTACAAGATGTCTGTACATTTAGTTTTCAAGATTCGCATCTTTTTCGTTTAAGGTTTTCATATCAATTATTTCCGGCTGATGTTGTTTGACACGTTGAGATTCTTGATCAGAACTTGAAAATTGTCTCGTTGAATGTTGAATCTTCGAATGAACATAATAAGACGAAGCTGCTGATGATGTTGTACTATTGCATAGCGCACGTCGGGCAATGATACTATCATGCGATATGTCAAAACTTTCCTGAAAGAATAGACATAATCGATGACGAAATGTCAACTTAAGCGTATCGAGAAATTTCTGGTTGAATGCACAGTAAAAAAAGAAATTAATTGAGTAGTTTAATAACAACATAATATTAGTGATTAGTTTTTGAATACGAAATCCGACAAAGAGATACTTTGGATAGTGTTTTTCAGTTACCGCTCGTACTAAATTCGGATACGACACGATGGTAAACGTATTGCAGATGAGAAAAACCACGACGACAGCAACGAGTGTTTTAGTTAAACGATGTTCGTCGCGTAAACGTTTTTGTTTATTTGGATGCATGGTTGGTGTGGCTGACGTAACTGAATTATGTTGTCGTGCAACAAGTTCATTCAAAGTGTAACGATTCGAATGTTGTACACGTTGTATCAGTTTGAAATTTAGAAAGAGTAATATCATTGCCGGAAGTATTTGATTCAGAATGAACATACTGATGTAGTATGCGTTTCGATATGGTAAAAATGTTTTTCGCGGATAACCAACAACACAGAAACATTGACCAATATAACTTGTGTTTGTTGAAGAATATTTGATTATGAACGGATGTGTTGTACATGTTAAGGAATTCAATGAGCCGATAGGACCAATGACGTATTTGACTGTTTCAAATAGAAAACGAGGAAAACTAAGACAAGCGCAAATCAGCAGGATAATTGCGATAGTAATACGCGCATAGCGTGGCTTACAAAAACTTCGCGTACGTAACGGATAAGTTGTAAATAGGTAACGTTCGATAGTCAATGCTAACGTAATCATGATGCTCACTTGACCGAAATAGTTCGCTAATGGCATGTAAAACTGTGCTTCGAAACGTGTTAGAGCAAAAAAGATCGTGTCGTGACGAATGTAATCGCCACGAACAACCGAGAATGGCGATATCGAAATCAATGTCAGCATATCAGCAACAGCTAACCCAGTTAAATACGTATACGGAGATTCTTTCAGACGACGTTGAAGTAAAACACATAGATTCAGAATATTGCATACAATACCGAATATACATATGATTAGAATCACATAACGATAACCATATACTTCAATATCGTGTAAGATATCAGAACGAAGTGTTTCGTTGTGATTTGATACACACGGATTTCTACTCATGATAATCAGATATTTTGTTTTACATGTCTAAATGGATGAAATAGTAGAGCTTTTTTTTTCTCTCAGAAAGATATTTACGCGAGAATGACGATTTTCAACATTGAATATATTTCGTGACTATGAATACAATAGTCAGAAACCTTTTACTTCGCATTAGAGATACCAAAGATCTAAATGAGGAAAAAAGTAGTTGGTTTGATGATAAATAAAGTCATTTGTTTTCATCACTATGTGTAGACATGTCTCTAATGATGATAAAATATGAACTTGTCAAAAGAAGATCTCGATTTATTCGAATGTAAGACATATTTACCTACAGAGAAATTCTAAGCTTTCCTTTTCCAAACTCATCACGCATCAAGAACATTCTCGTTATGGAATTACGCTAAAACTAAAATTTCCAATCAGAAGACAATTCTTCTTAATAAGAATCAATCATCAAATAAAAAAGAGTCTCCTGTTATCTCTTTCTGTTCTCTTGCACATATTTATTCATAGACATAAAACCGAGAAGGATAGATAATGTCTAGTGTCTATATATGTTAGAAAGAAACGATTTATTTCCTATTCCCAGATATGCATCATGTACTCGGTATTCTCAGTAGATGATGATGATGATGAGTGTGTTTTTTTCCTTATATAAATAAAATTAATGCTATGGAAAGCAAATCGAGAAGCGAATATTCGTCCTTTGAGACGAGAAATCATCGTTCTATATAAAAACTTATTGCTTCTTCATTCCCAAATGAACGATAATTCCATTCCGATTGATTTCTTCGTACTCGTTTCTGCTCATTGTATTACGAAAACGAATCAATCATTCGTCTTGTTTTCCAACACACAAATCAACTCTTTAACATATAGTCTAATATGAAAGGATTCTCCGATTTGTTAGCATGAATATGCGAGCGACGTTTGTCAAAATTAGATAACTAAGTCAACCGATCGTGTGATTTATCACTGTTCACAGTTGGACATGACAGAGAAATGAAAGTATCTCGGCTACAAGTCAGATACTGTCAATCGTACCCAAATGATATCTGTCAATAATTTTTGTTTATGTCAGCAAATCCAATGATGTACACTTTCGCCATTAATTTCCGTCATGTTATCCGACTCGTTAATAGAAGCGTGGGAGACAGTGAAACGATCTGATGGTATTTCTTTTAATAAACAGTCAAGAGAGTTTTGTTTATCGACTTCGAGAATGAATCAATAGCCTTTCGGACATTAATGTTAACAATTTTTGGATAAACATGTCGCGAATACGTCGAGAGTAATGGCAACTCTTGAACGTAATAGATGCATAGTTCGATGTGAAAATTAAGAAAACTAGGTCTTGTTGTTTGTGTGCATGAAATATTTGTTCCGAATAGCAAGAAATGGGTACTTAATAAACCATATTGATTAACCGTTCGGAAGAGAATTAGTGTCTTTCTTTATTTGCTGTTTTTTGACACATATCACGTTAAACGCAATCGTTTGAAACTAAATCGCTACCGACGATATCTAACGTCAATACATTTGAAGTACGAAGCTTTTTCTTTTCCTACACTTCGATGGTATGTTTTTTTCCAATATCCTTCAATGTTCTACCACGCAGCATCAAATTAAGTCACTTTAAAATAATGTAGATGGCTTATAAATACGGTCGATAAGTTCTATTCGAATATCATTTTAGAATGTTACTGAAAAGATTCACTTTGATCGTAAGACATAGGGATTACTCCTTAATGTCGTAGTTATTCTTTTTCAAACGCAATTAATCTAGCGCATGACTGAGTATTGATTCTTTTCTCGTTCTATCTTTATTTCGTAAGGATTTCAACCAATACAAAAAAGCACATTATTTCGAAATTCATGTTTGCGGGAAATATCGGGAGATCAATGATGATTAACTTATTTCTTTCCTTTTTGTTTTGTGATATTTGGAGCTGGAGGTGTTTGCCCGGTATAAAGATATGCCATGAATGTCATGTATTCATCGAATGAGACTGTTCCATCCCGATTGCTGTCCATGTTCTTCATAACTTGGAGGATTTCGTTGTTATCATGTGAGACGTGTGATCGGCGAAGACATTCGTGCATCTCATCCGAAGTGATGTATCCATTACTATCTTTATCGAATTCCTTGAATGCTGTCTTAATTTCGGCAATTTCTTCAGGTTTGAGCTGTTTAAGCAGAGATTCGGCACTCATCTATTTTGAAAAATATATCGAAATGGTGATGAGTACGGATTGCACTGCTTTTTCTTTCATTTTGCCTAATAAGTCAAGCGTAAAGATGCGTGTGTGGTGACCGAACAATATTTGTCGAAAAATAAACGCATGAAGAAAAACGTTCGTTCGATGATTTTCACTGTACTGCTGACTAATTTCATTTATGGTGATATCTGTGATTAATATTTATAGAGTAGCAAAAGATATTTTGTACAAAAACAAGTGATCAATTAGTCAATCGGAATGCAAGCTTGAGTTTTCTTTCGTGCATTGTTCTTCAAACGAAATGCAAATTCTAGAAATGTTTATTTGATATTTATTCAATGATGAAGCAAATTAATATGGAATCAATGGCTCGATCAGTAATAAAAGTGTACACTAGAGTTTCGTATAAGTTCTTCAGGAATTTTCTTTTTGATATAGCGTGGTCATTCAGAGAGAGAGAAAAAAAATACAGAACGTCACGAATATTTCAGTTTATTCATCAGAACGTTTCTTCGAGCCGAAATCATAGAAACGCTTTCGTGTACCGAAATCATAGAATCGTCGGAGACGTTCGAATTCATCGTTGAAATTTTGCGCATCTTCATCATCAGCATGAACTGATCGAGAACCGAAATCATAGAAACGTTTGTTTCTTAAAGCTTGTTTGACATGCATTTCATCCATTTGATGTTTTTCCTCCTAATTAACACAAAAACAAAGAGGATAGATTGAGAAGAAGAAGAAGACTGTCGTGAAGCTTACCGAAAGGGCACATGTCATGGTAATTAAAGTAATATAACCAACGATCAACATCAGAATTAAACTGATTGGTTGCATACTGTTATTATTTGAGTTTTGAAATAAAGAGGAAATATGATCTAAAGACAAAGAAGATGTTTTGTTGTAACGTGAAGGAGACTTGTTCGTTAATAAATGAATGCACTGAATCGAACAAGAAATGATTTTCTAGTCGAGATCGGAATCCAATCTTCTATCTCTTCTCTATTCTGAAAAATAAACGAG